CATTGCTGTCGCTTGAACGATATCGTATAAAAATTCCCACTGCTCGCACGCGATCAATAAGAAACTATAATGCTTAAGATAAAAAATAATTAACCTACTTCTTACTCGTCAGGACATGTCAAGAACTTTGTATAAGAAAACATTTTTTTATTGATCAGTTGCGAGTTGCTGTCGGTCGCACAATGATTTATGTAAACAGAACTTTGTGGCACAACGTGTGGCGCAGGAATGTTTGGGAAAGAATGGAACTTTTATAATAAAAAAACACTTTCATTATAACACACGTACGGAATATAAATGTTTATTTTAAATGGTAGAAAGTTTAGAGATAAGCTAAAAATTGAACGACGCGCACATCGCGTATAACGCTTAAAAACTCGAAATTCATTTTCATGCGTACACCCAGAAAAATATATACTGTATGCAAGTAATAATAATTACTTGCTTCAAATATTTCAAAAGTTCATATATCCGCAGATTTATCACAAGTTCAAACACAAGCATGAAATTTATTCAAAATATATTTCCTTATAAAGTCGGTCCTTTGATTAATTTTCTAATATTCTTCAAAAGAAAATCAATTCTTTTTCTGAATACATAATAATGAGTTTTTCTAAAATTTGTAATAGACATATATTACAAGATTATTATCGAGAAAATAATCTTTGTTAAAAATAACCGTTACTTAAAAGGAAGAAAGTAAATTGAAAGCAATCACTTTTCTTAGCAATAGAATGATATTTTTTTGTGTGTGCATACCGCATTTGAAATGCTTTTCAAAAATCTAATTTGATATCGTTGAATAATAAAAAAGATAAAATTTGCAGGTGTCGCATTGCTCTCTGACGAGAAGAGAACATTTCCGTTTAACTATGCGGCATCGATGGATGAAATCCCGCATTGCGAGATCGTTCGATTAGCGTTTCGAGGATTCGATTATGTCATCCGCGGAGATTGGCTGGAATAAGCTCTTGTTCGGAGCAATCAATTTTTATTATTAATAATTCGCCATTCACACCCCACGTGAGCCCGTGACCTATTGCGAACCCTTCCCGCGCCTCATTTGCGTCACGTGTTTATTTTATGGCGGACAGGCCTGTCGCTGCTAGCGGATTCAATATCCCGCCGAGAGAATTTATTTTTATACAAAATGCTCAAAAAAAAAACAACAACAACAACAACAACGCGACAGACTGCCTACTGACGCGCGAGAAAAAAAGACTATCGTCAATTTGTTATTCGCAGCTTACTATGGTAAACAAAGTGTCGGCGATCGGCGCGATGTTGCATGGTCAATAAGAAGGCCGCGATGCGATACGGATTACGGCTTGGAGTGCTCTACGTTGTGACAGTTTAATTATCAGCAAAGTGTTCTTCATGGTTAAATTAAATTGTTACATTGTATAATGATCTCGATGACGCAGCTGTAGCATTTAGAATGTAAGAAATAAAGCGTTAGAAGTTGTTTGCATTTCAACGCGTCTTTCGTGGGCTTTATATGTATATCGCGTGGTGCGTGCGGAAACCTTCTCAGCGATTTGCCTGAAGTAACTGAAGCAATAATGAGGGAACGAAGAAGCGAGAAAAAGAGCGCGATCGCTGAGTGCATCGCAGCGGTCGACGAACTTGGATGGAGCAAAAGGTTCCGCGATCCGCGAGTTCGCTACCGACCGCCGACGAGAGGAGACGCGACGCGTTTTACCGCTTTTCCCACGGCCCCTATTCCTTCGCCGCTTGTCGTTTCAATCGCATCGTGATGGCGGAAGGAGGCCGAAGTCGTTTCGCGAAAGAAAAACTCGCGAGGACGACGACGGTATACGGTCGATCGTTGGTAGACAGGAACGACTAAGCGGGTCGAGCGCAGAATTATTCAGCGCGGCATCGATCGCTTGCCGATGGACAGGAATATAATTAGGATTAATGATTTATTAAGACGACGGTATTAGATTTTCACCAACTGCTTTTAATCCATCTTGTACGATGGCGGATAATTTGAAATTTCTTTTAGGAAACTTTTGAATAAAAGAAAAATCTAGAGGAGGATTATTACTTGATTACTTCATATAAGCAATATTTAGTAATAAAAATATAAAATAAATAGAAATTGATAATACAGATTAAAATTCAATAGGTTACGTTATTGTAAAATATCTTATATTCATTGTATGTGTGCGTGTACACAAATATATGCGCAATTATAAATTAATATTTCTATAAAATCTATCAAGTTTCCTAAATTTACCACCACAAAACGAGTCTGATAATTGACAATAATAAAACTAATAATTTATGTATAAATACAAATTTCTGTTTTGTACACATTACTGTTATTAAATAATTATTAAATACTTGATCTTTTTTCGATTAATAAATTGTTAAAAATTGTTAGGTAATTTTAATTATATTACGTATTCATAATTTCTTTTATTAATTTTATATTTTTAATTGGTTTCATTCATAACTTCAATACTTAGAAAGGAGAAATATTTACAAGACCTGTAGGTATGATTTATGCGACCACTTAGATATGTAAATCATACCTTTTACGGCGTATTACGAAAAGACGTAACAAATTAATTTGTTATTGATAAAAAGTTAAACATATAATACATGAAAAGATATAAATGTCCGAAATATCGAATTACAATTTTCAATGTTCATTTACATACAAATCAGTATCAAATGGAAAATATAATAAAAAGTGGTATTCGACAACTTTCCTCTAGATTGCTTTTGTTGATCGCGAACTAAATGAGAAAGACGAAATGGGTGGAACATCAATCTCGAAAAATGCGTTGCGCCTCGAGGGCCAAAGATTCGTTCGTAGAAACGTTTTTCTCCGGCCGATTCCTCGAGGCAGCCCGCAGCGAGCGATGGCGAGCGGACGGGAGGCGGGATGGGGAAAGATGAGAGAGAGAGAGAGAGAGAGAGAGAGAGAGAGAGAGAGAGGGTGGGAATCAGACGCAGACCCCGGTCGGCCCGAGTGCTCCGAGTACTCCGAGCGCTCCTCTCGCTCGAAACGAGCATTCTCGTTCCCCGTTCCGCTTCGCATCGGGATCAGGCAGGATCAGGCAGGATCAGGATTCGTCCGATTCGTCAGGTTCCCCGCAATTTCGTTGGATTTCGTCGTCAGTCGTCAGTCGTCACACGGCGCGGTGAAGCCTTAGGGCCTAGCTGGCAGGCACACACACGTATCCTTCTTTCACGCAATTTTACCCGGGGAAAAATTTCAATGCGCAAGCCCGGAGCGTAAATAGGGATGCCTATGATACGCTCGACGATATATACTTTGTCGTTCAACGCACGAAAGATTGTAGTATCGATAACCAAAATCTCCCCTAGAGCGAGAAACGGGCGCACTTCGCATTTCCTTGTGCGATTACACATCAAGATTTATTCGCGATCAAAAAAGCAAATCGCTCGCAGTCTTCGAATGGGGATCGGGAGATATCTCAACGCTATCTCGCCCCGTTTACTTGCGTGATGTTATCACGCTTATCCAGGCGTTAGCCTACGAGATTATTTAAGGTCGAAACGCCACTCTAAAAAGTCCCGAAATTCAGTTGATTCTTATACAATCTTAAGATGTCGTAAATCAATCACAGAGCATTAGCATCTTAAGGTATTAAGACGATCTTAAAATAAGAATAAACTATAAATATCGCTCAAAATCACTAGACTTGTTAAGTAAATTCTTTATCATTTTCGCTCGAAAACATGGCCATTTCAAATTTATGTATTTGTATAAACGTATTTATGAAAATAAAGCCATAAATTATGTAAATCATTTTTTTAATCTATGTAATCACAATTAATTTATGTATAAACAAAAAATAGGTACGGATGTTTAATTTGTATATTCTTTAGTCCAACACGGATTTATTTTTTGTTAAAAGTTTCAATGTATAAAAATGCATATGTAATCACCGAAAAGGAAAATAAATTTTATAAGAGCGGTTGCTAATTATTCCTCATCCTAAAGTTCCATAACTTTTCCTTGATTTCTAGACAAAATTTCATAAAGCTAAAAATTGTTATTTTCCAGAAAATTTTGCAAAATTTTGCAAAATTTTCTGACCCTTCCTCGAGTTTCCTGATCGTTTTCATTTTCCCGGATAGAAAATTTAGCAGAGGTTAAGATAGTTTTATCTAATGTATGTAAATGAAATATTGCGTTATGTGCACTAGGTATCGGCAATTTTGCTCGGAATTAAGAAAAAATGGATATGTCGATTGCGGTACTTGATAAATTTAATGATTTTACGGAAGCTGGCAGTCGGCCGCCGCCGCCGCCGTTGAGCTAGTCTCACGTCGATTCGATTCCATCGGAAAATTTCTCCTCCGCGTTTACCCCATCGCATCGCTCGCATCGGTCGAGAAGGATATTGGATGCAGGATGCTGCGACGCAACGTGATCACGTACCTCGTGTAACGGCCGCACGTGGCAAACGCGCGTATCACTCGCACGTGGCGAGCTCTCGTGATCATTCCGCGCCGTAGTATTATTTATATCGAAATTCTTGTATAAACCTATATCGCACGAATTGTAACGTAACAAGTATTGCGCAAGAGTTTCTGTACATGTTATTTATATAGCTTCCTATTTAATTTGACAATGTATTTATGTAACATTAATGAAATCCTTCTTTCTTTCATTATACGCATTTACGCATTTAAATATAAAATATTAATCTTTAAATAACAAAACGAAATTCATGCGTTGTTTAATCAGAGAGCATCGATAAACATTATGTATTTTTCAAAAATTCTCACTGAGAAACTGGATGAAAAATTTCATCGTAATTTACAGTGACTTTATGCAACATTTCTGAACAAACAGGTCTCTAAATTTCGAACCGGCTTTCAAGTAAATTTTAAAAGCACAAAGAAAGTAAAAACACTGAGTGTGACTACGTATGTACAGAAATACGATCTCTGTTACGTCACAAAACAGACGAATCGCCAATGTGAAGAATCAACACACAAAAAAAAAAACTCACCCATAGCAATACTGCGTCTTAGCCAAGAACGAGTGATACTCTGTGTAGTCGGGCTCTCCTGCAAACAATAAATCAACCTTGACTATTTCGCTAATTTCGTAACAAGTAATTTAATAAAGGCGAATTGAACCATAGCGATAATTTGCACATCAATGCATCAAAACTTTGACGCAAATCTACAACAGGTTGATTTGCATATCAATGCATCGAAACTATGACGTAAATCTGTAATTTCAGGTATTTATTTGTTATCAGGAATGGACGAATATGTAAATACAATCTTACGATTGGTAGCCTATCGTCCAATCTCATAAAAGAATGTATTGACGCGCATTATATTTTTAGTGATGGAAAAAACCCGTAGTCGCAACTCTGTAGGTGACATAGAAAAGATCGATCGGCAAGAATTCGCGCCGTTTATGGCTACAAAGTGCTAAGGAGCGAACGAAGGACGGCTACTATTTAAATTTCGACCTGCGCGTAAATCTTTGGTACGATCTTTCGACTTTGATTGTCTGTGTCCGTTTCGAATAATGAAAACTAATTGAAAACAATTGCGTCGCAATTTTATTAAACTATATGGTCACGATATTATCGATGCTTCGTGTAACAACACAAACAAGTGAGATATATATATTACGTTAACTCTAAAAACATAAACAATCGCATCTCCATGAGAATATATATGCGATATGTACCATAAACATAATAATTTTTTACAAAATTTAAAACAACCAAATAACATTTATGACATTAAAATGATATTTATATCTTATTAAGATATGCGAAATAAATATACAATTTTCCAACACCTTATTTGCTCAAATATGAATTGTTTTAATTTCTGTATAACATCGCTATGCAATGTAACAAACATTATTTTTATTCTGTTTTTAATTATTTCTTTCCACGACATTTTGTCAAAAACATTTTATAGATTTTGTGAATTTTTGAATGCAAATATTTCATCCTTTGCTCTATTCTTAGATCAGTGCTCTCATACTGTCGTTATCGCGAAAGCTCATACATTTTAACGACGATTTTGAAATTGTAATTCACATCCGTTCGATTGTCTGAAAAATCGATCGATTTCACTGGTTCGCATAATTTCATTGGTTCGCGCGCGTGTATGCGCGCTTTTTCTCCCGAGACGCACGCGAGGAAACTGTGTCGGTCGTGCTGTTTTCACGACCGATCGTCATTATATGAGTGCAAAGGAGAAGCTCGAAAATAAAATTTCTAAAGGTAGATGCCTTTTATACCAACTGTTTCGCTCCTTTCATCTATTGGCTTTTTTTCGTTTGTTTCAAGTATTGACTATAAAAGTAGATACTTTTCGATATCGTAGTTGCAATCTTGCTGCATAATAAATCAGTATGTGTCTCGGTATAATTCTGTTAGAAGCAGTGCGTGTAATACTTTTATGCAATTTGAATTCGCAAAAGAATCGAGGACAGAAATGAAGCAAATGGTGAGAAAAACCAACAGAGAGATAATGAACGATTTCGATTCGATGGAAATTGCATAATTAACGAGCAACAATTAAATATCCTGTTATTATCCTTATTATTGTTGTTATTGTCGTTACAAGCTCATTTGCGAGACCCTCGATATTTGCGTTGCGTAAATATTACGTCACAACACGTGCTGTAATTACCAATTACCGTGCAAAACAAATTTAATTACTCGAGTACTTGAATAAAATATTACGATGTATCGCAAATGTACGAAATTGGTCATTTAAGCGAATCGAAAAAAAAAAAGATTATATTTCAAGTTTTGTGTGGCGTTACATATACATACGTGTATACATATATGTGTATGTTGATCGATCGTACGAGTATACAATGTCGTACGCGGCTATAACTCAGCTAGAAGCATCCCGACGGAATTATAAATAGTTGGCCCCGATTCAAATGCATTTATCGGCGGATTAGCGATTTTATTGTCGGTACAATGTATCGCGGATTGTCGTCCCAGCGAGCCGGCATGCAATAATCGCCCTACAACAAAGTTGTGCAATTAATGCGATGGGTAAATTTCTTTTAACACTGAGAGAAAAAATGGTTACAATTACCATCATTTAACTATAATTTATAATCATTTTTTGGAACAAATATGTATTTATATTTGTTTTAACCATTCAAATATATCAATTGTGTTATTAATAATAGTCATTTCTTGATATATATCTTTTAATTATTGTTACCACATGAATAGTAAGAGAATTTAAAAATAGTAACAAAATAGTTGATGAAAAAAGTTACATTCACTATAATTGTGATTGCATTTATCGAATAAAAATGTTGATTTTATTTATCATTTACATTTGGTATTTTAATATTTGAAATTATTACTAACATTATAGCAATAATAAAGATAAAAATGGAGCTCCTAGCCATAATTATTTCATCATACAATTCCAGTCACAAATATCAAACACTTTTCTTTCAGTGGATAGCTGTCCTAACTGAAAAGCATCTGAAAATATCGCTATTTCTTTTTAGCTCTTTCGATATCTACGTGTTTAAATAATCGTATATACATATATATATTCACTAATGGCATCAACTTAAACGACTTTAAACGATGAAAAAGGAATTCTCACATCAACGACCCTTTTTTGTGACGACCATTTTATTTTTCTCATAATTAAGAACTCCCATAATTAGCAGTAAATTCAAGCTGTATCACACACGCCTTCGCAATATACATTGTACATTTACTCTGTACTTTTATATGATGATGCACCGTTAGTTTTGTTTAATTATGACTTGCGACCGTTCTTTACAGTTAATGGCGTAAGTAGAACAAAAGATCTTTCCGCGGAGAGGAGGCGATAAACGGCACTGGCTTTATCCATTAATGGATAGACATATTGCAGCAGAGACTTCTTTCTTTCGCGGTTGTTAACGTGAAAGATGTTGGAGAATGTCAGATCGTGCCGTGCATCGGTAGAGGTTTTGCACCATTTCCGAGTAAGGAAGCGCTAGGCAAGGTAGAACGCGTTCCACAATAAAAACAAAAAAACCAAAAAAAAAAGAAAAGCAGAAAACACTGGAGTCGCGACGCAAGAATAGAATTAAGCGCAGCTTTCTAAATTATTACAAATGATCGGTGAAATAAGCTTTCGCTCGATCCTGACTGCCATATATGCCGTCCGTCTCTCCGCACGCCTGTATATAATCTGCGTGGCACGTAATTCACGCAGATTGCAGACCTGGAGTGATGACAGAGCTTGACGATGTTGAGAACCGAATATGGTTCGCGTTAATGCACTTACCGGATCGTACTTATTTCCATTCCTCGTCAGAAATTGTCCTGACCGGGAAATGGTCAGGCAATAATCTACCATACACTTGGTGCACGCGTATACTCGGTTGTTACTTGCGGCAAATCCTTTGTCCCGAACTGCCTTAAACGCAGACCGCCCGAATCAATATTGGCGCGTCGTCGCATTTCCTAACGGATGTCGCGAATTTTCCCACTGAGTATTTCAGACCATTTCGTGATAAACGCATCAGAGATTCGTAGTGGATCTCTGAGGCACGAACGTGGCAACAGAAATTCTGTCTGCGTAGCAGTCGAATCGATGACAGTGTGTGAGTAGATATATACGAGTACACTTCGCGCGAAGCGGTACGGCAAGATCCGGATACTCCGTGTCGAGTTCATTCACGAAGAACCGTGTATACGGAGTGTCGTCGTACGTCTCTCGCACGCGAATCTTTCCCATTAATTCATTTATTGGGGTATCCAGAAATTTCAAGGAATGTCTCGTCACAAGCAAACATTTTTTTTTAATTTTTCTACGAAAAGATGGAAAAAATATGAAATTATTATATTTTAATTATTACATTGGAAAAGTATCATTTAAATATATGATTAATAAAAAAATTTTATTTACAATTATATCAACTAAAAAAAAAGAACAATATCTATATGCTTTTATATCTAGGAATATTTTCTAAATAAAAAAATTTATATTTTTCGAATGTCAAAACTGATTAAATATTTCAGAAGTATTAAAAATATATATAACATCTTGCTATAAATATTTTTAAAAGAGAAGACTTCAAGAGGCGACGAGATGGCCCCCTCCGTGGAGTTGCCAGAATTGATTTCCAAATAAAATGTTGTCATCGTCATTTCGCTTTCTTCATGGATTTCTTTACTTTATCTGCTCGTTATCATTAACCATTAAATTCATCCGCAGTACAAACTTTGTTTCCCTTCTCCTCGTCTCACGGTGTTAAAAATACAGAAAAGATTTCAGGATAATACACGTTTCCTGCAGTCTTCTCGCTTCAATCATCGGCTTTTTAGTAATCTTCCGCTTCCCACATTAACACGTACATCGTATAACTTGCAAGCTGTAAATGCGAATCGCACGGAACACCCTGTATACCTTTACATGCTGCGTCGGAGTATAAATAGACGCTTATGACGTAGTCGAGATCCACGAGGTCTGCCCCCTCGACGAAAACAACATGGCAAGACGAGACGAGACGAGATACGAAGAACGCGTATAGGAGCCTATAGCCACTATATACTACGTTCCATTAATGTGCGTATATACGTGTACGTACAATATATATATACGTGTTTGCGATGCAAGTGCAAACGCATGCGATAGCGTGCGCCTGTATTGCGTGATTGCAAAAACGCGTTTGCACACGGCAGGAAGAAACGGCAATGGCTAATAATCGATTCGGAAATCTGCAAACACGCGACGATAATGAAGATAACGAGTATCGATGGAAGCGGTTATCGCGTCGTGGCGCGTCGCAAATTAATTTATGTGACACGTGCTGCGACGCGACGCGACGTGTCGTTTCATATCCTTTTGCGTATACATACTGGAGAGAGGTTGACGGTCCACCATTTCATAATTTACAAACTTTGTCCAGATGCGTGTATCCTTGCTCTTTAGCGAGGCTACCGTTAACGACGATCTCAGCAGCTTTCGCCGAGACTCTCCTCCTCTTCACCTCGCGTCTCGTCTCAAACTCCATCGAATTGCGTTC